ACCTATAGTAGTTAGCAGATTGTACGTGTTCGGCAGGACCCAGTTTACGAAGTAAGAGCCGTACATTCCATACGTCGTCCTGGGCAGCCAAATCGACAGAGAAGAAGTCCTCGTATCAGATGTACAGGGAATCCAAAGTGATGTGGGCTTTCGGGTCATACAGGAATTCAATACTGTTGCTGTTAGTGTAATCGACGGATTGTGAACCACCAGCAAAACTCAACTGGCCAATTTCGATAGCTTAACAGTGAGAGTTTCCATCAAATTAAGTTGCTGCTGCAACATTTGCTTCAAGTTAGTATACAAATCAGCCATCACAACTGAGAAGCGGTATTAACAAATTTTTACGACTCCTGCCTGGTACACGTAATTAGCACGAACTGCAAGCTTGCCCGTCGGTTGTCCCCAAAGACAGCATGAGAGAAGAAAAGACAAGCCACGATCAAATGTTTATTCACACAAATCACGTCAAAGCAAGTCAACCGCACAAAATGGCTGCGTGTATTTATTAAATTCGCTTGATAAGATAGCTTCGGCGACAATGGGCCAATCAGCTATGGGAAGAAATTGATAGCTATGTTACGCGTTCTCATGACAGCAGCGTATCAGCCCCGCCAAGAGGCATTTCTATGAGAGGAGTCATCGTGGGAAAGGAAGTATTCCCAACAGTCACGCTGGTGGATGAGTAGTTTTAAGAGCTGGAGATGGGAGATTTGTCGGATATACAGGGTTTGTTCGGAGAGTCCGTATTATGGTTCGATCCGCCTTTGTGGAAACGCAACTGATCGCCAGACCGACGCATAAGGGGAATATGCAATTGCAATGAGGACAGTTTAGGGTCTAATCACCAATGCTGGCTGTGAGTGAGGTGGTAGTGGAAGCAGCAGGTGGTCTTATCGATGTTGGGAATCTGAAAAACAATGTTGGCGACGGTCCTCGCTGTGATGGATACGAAATTGGGTACTCAGGATGTTACCTGTGATGGAGCGTGGCGGGACATCCGCAGAGTGATCACCGGTGTTAAGCGTGATCGTCGGCGTGGACGTCGTGGTTTTGACGCAGGGGAGGAGGGGTGCAAGGGTTGTACGTTGATGTTGGAGTGTTGTTGTATTGCGTCAGAATATGCCTTTCGTAACCCGGTTGCGCCTTGGGCGTGACGTCACGCATGAGGTCACTTGATTGCAATTCTCAAATCGCCTTTAGGGCAGCCAATCACAGGTGCTGCAAACTGCGCGCAACGCATGAATTCTTTTGCCTCCCTGGTCTCGCCAATCACCTTCAAGGTCGATTCGCGAAGGACCTCATTGTGATGACTGCCTACGCTCTTACACTTCGGATTCCGATCCCACTGCGACTGGCCGTGCCGTATTCCGACAGTCAACTTCCGCCTACCTATCCTCCACTTCTTCTCTACAAACTAAAGTATTCTTTTCACTTTGGCCTCCCAATCTTCTCCTTCCCACAAGAAACTGTGCCTGAAGATCTTACCACAACCCACTGCGATATGAGAGTTAAAAGATGCGATCGCTGGAACACGAAGTTCTATATGCCTGGCGTTTCGGACTCTGTTGAGAACCCTTCACCAGAGGCAACCATAGAATAGAGTGATACATGCACAGAGTGCCCAACGACACCGATTGGTGATGCAAATGTGCGTTGACAGTGTGGGCCTGTTAACGCTCGTCGTCCATCCTTCCCAGGTGGCCACTCCATTGCATTCTTAGCTGGCTCAACATGGTGTGGCTCTGAGAATTCTCATTCATTGCGGGAAATCCGTATCCGGGATCCTGTCCTGTCAACTAAACTTTTTGTTTAGGGGAATGCTGTGACGATTCCACACGGAAGCTTGCAACCGGCCGAAGGACTCCTCTGCTGGGTCATGCCGGTATTGGCCGAGCAACGCGACGTCTGGAGAAGAGAATACGCGAGCACATACCGGCATGGCTCAGCAGAGGAGAGAACAGACCGATCTCAAGCTCAATCCTCGACCTACTTACTCGATTGTCCTCTTCCGTGTTCTCTCTGGGTCCGCTACCTTTATCTGTTGCTGTCTCTGGTGACGAGTTCTAAACGATATAGCGCACTTGGAGCTATCATGGCGCGCTGAAAACCGCGGTTTGGAAGGTCGCCAACTAACGGAATAGATCGGGACGCGCAGTAAGCCCAGTGTATGTTTGCTTGGAAGGGCTGGTTAGCTAGTGGACTGAGAGTCAAGCTGCAATGGTACGCTCTTAATATGGCCTTCGTGGTACTCTCGCTCAACTGAAACGTGAACTAGGTACGAAAGCACACCTAGGGGCGGCTCAGGTCGCACCAGCCACACCCGCCATCTCCCGCATCCGATCTTCTTAAATCCGTCTTGACACCGGGACCAGGTGGGAGAAGATAGGCCATAGGCTATTGCAAACGAGTGACTGGGAATGCTTACCAATGTTATAGACAGACAATTTTCGCGGAATACACATACTAGAAGGGAAACTGTGGCGAAGTACCTTTTTATATGACGTCGTATAGCTGATGAATAAAGGAATATTGCGCTTATCATTTCGTAACAAACAAATTTGCGTGAAAATCATATCGCATTACGAAACCAATTATCCAATTTTCCACATGCGCATCACCTTAACAGAGTTGTTTACTTGAACAATAGTTCGCTTTGCTAACACTTCAAAAGTTCAGGTAAAACTAGTCGGTCTATTCAAACAATTCTCGCAACATTGTTACAGGACCATTCATCTCCGCTCACACGTCTGCAAGAATCTGGAAGCCAGTTCGCACCTACATGATCTTAGGATAATCAAAACGACCCCGTCACGGCCGGCAACTATTTTGATTATCAACCCACTGATGTGATCTCCTGATTTCAAACCTTTAATAAACACATAGCATAATGCATAATTTGTCCATGATTCAATTTCTATTCACATCGGCAGACGCCTTATTAATCTACAAACAAACAGGAGTGTTCAGCAAGTACGTCAAAATCTCAACAGTAACATACAAACACCGCATGCTACAGCGCATAACAGTCTTCACTTGTGAGCATTTGCAACTGATGGAGGAAAGCCAACGAAGTAAAAACGTATTCAATTTTTTTATCATCTTGCAGCATGAAAACCCCGTGATAAAATAGGCAGTCTGCAATTCTTTCTGTTTAGGTACTAGGAATGCCCAGAAGTCCATCGACTGGGACTTCGTTACCAACTCTGCCAGACACTAGGCCCCTTCAACATCAGCAATAAGCCAGCGTTGATACTCTGAACGCATCACACCTACCTCTTAAATGTATTAGTAGGGAGAATATAGCAGCAATACAATTATCTTACACAGAACACCTTGAACCTTGTGGACCGTTGTGGCCACCGCACTGACAGCCGAATTTGTCCTTACAAAGCTGAATGCACCAGGCGGATGCATGTTGTTCCCCAGCACTGAAAGAAAGACTGCTGAAATTCAGTCTAACAACAACGCGTACGGTAGAATTTAGACTACCACCTAGAGACATTATGGGGTATAATATTTGGTCCACAGCTTAGTTTATGAGGAGTCCCTTCTGCCAAACTATATCCACTCCACTCCACGACGTCCAGTTCGATTTAATCGCCAAAACAACTAACGAAGCGATATTTACACTACTGCCACAATATTCGAACCATGGTTGCAAATCTGGGCCGTACTCTCAAACATAAAACACACACATCTCAGAAACATTTTTCTAAATATACATTCAATCAAGTGAATAACAATACTTCACGCAAGTCTATTGAAATCACAAAAATAATTGACCGAATGAAGTCAAACATGATAATTAGCAAAATAGTCCTTATATAACTGTGGGGGCAAATGAGCATTTGAAATCACAGGTTAGATTAAAAGTAGATAACAATCATGACCATGGTCATGATTGTTATCTACTATCGTGAGGATGATCTAGATTGTCTGCAGCCAATCTAGATCATCCTCCCGATAGTAGTTTTCGCCAAAACCACCGTTTAGGTCGTCCACAGGGTGCCCCGGTCACCAGCTGGACCTACAAAAACACAACAAAGGATAAAAAATCGTCAGAGACTATTGCGGAGTTTTAAGCAAGCTGCACATCTTACAAGCATATCAACTATACCTGGCACGGTTCTAAATACACGTTAGCGCAAGTAATGCTTAAAACCTCCAAGGGATTTCACCACCAAAGGCCTGGGCAGTTGGAACATAATGACGTTGATGAGCCTACTACTACTACTATGACTGCTTCTGTTACTATTAATACTACTTCGACTACATAACTAGGAATTTGGCGTACGTCCACAGCGGCGTAATTATTGCCACCAATAAAAAATTTAATTGTTTACACATAAAATTGATAAGGTTTACACAGCTAGAAGGGCAAGAATATTCAAAAACGTCTCACAGTAGTGACCAATTGTCCGGTGCGTCGACCGGCTCCTCAACCCCGTCTTCGTTGATATTTCTGCCATGGCTTCCGTTTGGAGTTTCCTCGCCAGGCGTGGCTTGCACACTGGCATTGTGTGCCGACCGTTAACATCACTTTCTATTGCCTGGCTGTGTGAGGCAGAACAGAAAGGTTCCACTAAGCCCAGTGAATAATTTTTCGACAAGAGCATAACACGCAAGATCAGGTTGTAGAAGCATACCGGATACTTAGGACACACGGTCCACTCATAATTTTATTATCACACAAGGACATTACTGAAGCGCCCACTTACTATATCTACCATTACCTTCCCCACGGTGTTCTTTAACTCTGCTAGGTTTTCTAAATGCTTTTGTCGAAAGTTCACAGTCCAGCCGTACATTATGGTTCTGTTATTCACCATTACCCCATAGTGTTATTGACAGCATTATACCAGAAGCTCTTTTACCTTTGCCAGATGTCCGATTAAAGTGTCTAAAGTATCTCTCTGTTTGTCACCTTCAGCAGTGTAGTCCCTACGTTTATAAACGAACAAACATTCACCAGTGCTTTAGATAGTTAGACGCTGATCACGTGGACACAGTTTATCGGAATCGGGATGTAGAGGTTATACATCTTTCGGCCAATAAACAATGTACAGGGCGGTAGCAACAACTTAAAGGGTCCAGCTAAAAGCTTCGACCTTAGCTGTTAATTCTTATGCAGCCGAATGCAGCTGTCTAAATCACCTTCTGATATCTTTATCCACCACCGCCTACTCACTACGCATATAAGATTCCTTCGTAACGGCGCTTTCACACAGAAAGGCGAGAGTTCACGAGGATATGCAAAACAGCGGAAATTTGTTAATAGAGCGACTAGCACTTCCTTACATATGCCTAAACGGACTGATACTTACCAACAAGATTGCTTTCCATTCTGGAATTCATCTAGTTGGTCTTCCATCAGGGGCGAGTCAGCAGACATCTTGGTACATTTGGCCTTTAGCACTGTTATTTCTCTTTGTGCCTCGCGAAGCTCAGCTTTCAACTCTAAGCGGCACTTTTCACTGGCCTTGAGATCATTGTGTAGCACCTCTAATTGACCTTCCTTAATTTTATTATCTTCGTCAAGATCTGAAACATTCCAAAATAACTCTTACAGGAAAGGAACGTTGGATATATGGGATTCATAGAAAGGCTGCGGCTCACCTGAACACGCCTTTTGCATTTGGAGGACATTATTACATTTGACATGACTCTCTGCCATCTGAACTTTCAGTTGGTTACTCAGGCGCTCGAGACTCCCTTCTGCTTCAGCTTTCTCATTCTGACAACTTATAAGTTCTTTCTTTGCATCTACTAACTGGGAACGCAAACATTCATTGATGTTCATTGAGGTTTCGCAACGACTCCTTAATTGGGCCACTTCACGTTCCAGGCTTGCTCTAAATGTAAGAGAGTGAACCATTTGTAATTGAAACCTGCAATTTGTTAAGCAGGCAAAATGCATGTAATGTATTATTAGCATTTCTAACCTTTCCTCGTCTGCTTCATACACAAGCTTGGCCAAGCGACTTTCAAACTGCTCCTTGGATCGGCTTTTGTCATCGTACAAACGTTTGACTATGGCTTTCAGCTTCAAGACTTCTTTTTGGAGCTGTTGTTTTGAAACTACGTCAGCAGTTTTTTTCAGATCACTTTCTCTTAATCTTTCTTCTACTTCATCCGCCCTAACCCTTAGTGCAACTAATTCCTGATTATACATCTCTTTTGTGCCCTGGAGAGCCTGTAGTAACTCAGCCTCCTGCCTACGGGCCTTGGCTATCAGATTTTGCTCATTTCGTACGTATGCGTCCTTCCAATCATCGCGTTCAGCAATTACCTGATTCAGTTTTGCTAAAAAGAATAAAACAATTTGTTAGTGTATACACTCGTGTTCCTCCTAAGTCACAAACCTCAAACGGATTTCAAACAGTCATCCATTACTTACTGGATAACTCTTGTAATTGTGTTTCTTTGGTCTGCACTTGGCTATCTAACTCTTGAAGATCCTTCCTGTGCGCTTGCAGCTCGGCTTCCAGCTGTTTGCGCCGTTCAATCTCCTCATCGCAGATTGTCTTGAACTGACTTAGCTCAACCATTCTGGCATTCACCCTTAGCGTTTCAGCCGTTAGTTTCTGTTCCAACTCTTGCATATCATCCTCAACCTTGACATTAGCATCGGCAGCTGCGGTGAGAAGCCCCTGTAGCCGATCAATTTCGGCTTCGCTTCCGCTGAATTTCTCACTGAGCTCTTCATTCGAACTTCTCAGTTTTACTATCTAGAACATAAGCACCAACAATTTGTATTTTATCCTTTTAAATACAACCAAGTTTACTGGTTACATTATCGATCATGTTCTAGTTATCACTGAAATCAGCTAAGATCTCAGTTGACACTACAGAGGCTATCTTAGATATATGGTCAAACAACTTGTGCAGGTCAGATCAATTAAGCTGACAGCATATATCGAAGGAAATAGGCGCACTCTTTTTAAGTAAAACGTGACTTATATTCCTAAAGCACTTGTCAAGAAAAAACGGAAGAAAGTGAGCTTTCAGCAAATAATCGGTAACACACCTCCTCCTCAAGCCTCGGACACCTTTCCTCAAATTGATTTATACGCTCCTCGAGCGTCTTGCGTTCGGACTGCAATAACTTGCAGGACTGCTGAATTTCCTGTGAGACCTCGACCAGCTTCATGTTCCTGGACTCTAACTTCTCAATTTCTTCTTTATAACTCTCGATAACAGCATTGGCCTCAGACAACTCCCCATCCAGTGCTGACAGTTCAGATTTTGCTTCGTGTAGCTGGCAACTGGTCAATTCGTGCTTGGCTTTGATGCGTAAAATTTTCGCCTTAATATAAAAAGCATATTGTAAGTCGTCATAACCGGAAATTCTAATCCCGAAAACGTTATGTAGCTGCTGAAATTACACTAGAAAGCAAAAACAATCTATGAAACACTATGTTTACTTATGAACAAGGTGTAATAAAAGTCTAGCAGGCATAGTGATCTAAACTAAACATTTGCTACTTGAAGATAATGCCAAGCAAACGATAAAGTACGTACCTTGTACCGTTGTTGAAGTTCTAGCATTTCCGCGCTGGCTTCCGTCAAGGCCAAGTTGGACTTTTCTAGCGACTTCTGTAACTCTTCATTGGCTTTCGCCATTGCGTCTATATTTGTTTTCAGTTGGTCAATGGATTCCTGCTGGTCATCAGTTTCCCTTCTGCACTTCCGTAAGTCCTCTTCCAACTTCCGCACCAACTCTTGCGAGCGCTCCAATTCCCGCATGTTCTTCGCACTGGTTTGCTGGCTTAAGTGCAATTCAATTTCTAAATTCCCGTTTTGACTTTTCAGTTCCTCCTTCTCTGTAAACAATCGGTTGTTTTCTCCGCGTAGCGCTGAAACTGTCGAAATCAGTCTAACTCTCGCGGTTTCAAGTCGGCGATTTTCCTCCAAGAGGGATTCCGTCGAAATTAATGTTTCACCCACTTTCTCCTCATCCCCCACCTTCTCCTCATCCTCCATCTTGCAAATAGAAATGATGCCTCATAATGTCGACTTAATACAGACACAAATGATGGGTGTGACAGGGAATAAGAAAAGACACAAAAATGCAAGTCGTAGCAATGATTTAAAATGCATTAGCTTAATTTAAATGACGATTAATTATGCTTTAGCGACCGGTGAATGCTTTTCCCAGGACATTAGAAATAAAAAACAACGAACCTGACCGAACACTTCCGTCTGTACTCCTTCGTCATGAGTCCTTACAGGCACGTTTTCACGCGTTGGATGTATTCGCTCCAAAAGCGTGATAATCTTTGATTGCTGGTTTATAACCAGTTCTTTGAGGGACGCTCTCTCCTTTTGCCACTCTTTGGCGTGCTGGGAATTTTGCCTGGTCAATTGATCCTTCTTTGAAGGAAAATTCTCAGGTACTGCCGTTGCATTACATCGTTCCAGCAGCTGTGTGTTCAAATACGCGTGACTTGCCCGTTGACTAAAGGTAAGTAATAGCAATAAGGAACCTTGTATTGCTTCAGTAGCATTCCGCAAAAAGTTCAACCGTTCATCTTCGATTAAGATAAATGAAAAATGTAGCTGGCAGAGGTGGTAACACTGTAGGCTGAACACATGCGGCGTCTCCGAAAATCAGTAAAACTCCTCAACAAATTTGAAGAATTTTTCCCGGGTATAAATTTGAAGCAGGCAAAAACGGCAGAATATATTCGTACAAATAAATTTCGAGAGCGTTCATCAACTGCTTCCTCTCTTTGCATGAATAACAAAGCAATTGGAGAATATATCATTTTGAATTTTCACAGGATCCATAATAGCAAGGTCATTGTTACGTGGCGAATGGTCAATAATAATGTCAACTGTACACTTAGGAAGAAAAGTAGTGAGGGGAACTAACAAGAATAAAAGTGTGGCATGCATTTACTATTATCGATCCTGTGAAGATTCAAAATGATGTGTTCTCCAATTTTTTCGTTATTCATGCAGAGGTAGCATTTGATAAGCGCTCTCAAAATTTATTTGTACGAATAAAATCTGCCGTTTTCGCCTGCTTCAAATTTATTCAACAAATTCTTCCAGTAAGCAGCCTGACGGAGTGATATACAGCAGAGTCGACTGACCCCTAGTTAAAACGCTTAACAGGGAATTTTTCTAAGAAGCGAACAATAACATGCACACTATGGAAAATTAGCAAACCAGTTCAATTTTTCCTACGACAATAGGCCATTTGAAATTTGAAAAAGAGACAGTTGTTTATTGCGACAGACTTACTACTCCGCCACATCTCCACACTGGCTTTGCGGAGGATGTGTTCGTTTCTCATAAGGCCGGCCGTCGGAGAACATTCTTACGTCGCCATTGTTCTCGCACTTTAAACAAGCATCCGCAAGTTGCGTGGGAGGAGCAATGGCCTGGTCTCCAGATGAATCCGAAGACCACACATTGCTTGATATATCCTGAAACAAAATGCATTTATAAGGCATATGCATGCTGCAGATGATAAAATGTCTAGTTTTAGCTTGAAGATTATGTAAAACACCGAAGACTTATCTAATATGATGTTACCTAAGATTTCCTCTTCCGCGGCGTGGCGTGGCGCGAACCGCTGAGACGCCCCGTTGCCCTCAGAAAATGCGGATACGGCCGACTTTTTTACGTACATCCCCTTAACCGCTTACTCGGTAGGCCCACTGGACTCACAGAAAAAAAATAGTAACGTTGCAACCAAGCCTCGAGTGACTTAACCAATGTGCGGCATATCCCCTGCCTTCCGACAGAAATCTATCGTACGTTTTCACTTGACTCCGGGATGCCAAGGTGATGTTTTGGTCTATTTAAGGAAGGAGACTGTCCATATAATCACAAGACAAACAAACTTATATTTTAAAGGCACAGACTAATCATATTAATGGAAGATTTGAAAAGAATTAGGTCACAAAGGCAGGCAATTAGTTATTCATTTAGCCTGGAGCGCAAGACGCTACAAGAGCGCATATCAAAATTCGAGGAAAGATACCCAAAGCTTGAGAAGAAGCACCTGTGCGACATAGGATCTTCCCAAAAAGTCTGAGAAAAATATTTTATTCGTACATTAATGCAATGTAACGAACATTACGTTACATAACATTATACATATAATATTATATGTATAATGTTATGTATATGCAAATTCGCATATACAAAGGTGAATGCTGCGATATGCATTTTTCAGCAAAGGGGCACTCTAATGAATAATAATTTAGTGTATCGAAACAAGATTAAGGTTGCTTCATCTGGCAAAAGACAGATCTGTCCCATCCAGCTGAGTCGACTCCTAGAAACGGAAAGGAATGAGTTTAATAGTGCCTTTTTGCCCCAAAATGTGGCGCAAATGAGGAATTATGTTAAATTTAATTTGCTTGAAAATTTATAAAGCACAATAAGCATAGCACAAGTACTATGTACTCAAAAGACTCACCGAAATAGCTGATACCGTCGTAGCACAGTCGTTGTTAACGGACATCGCGCTAAATATGTTTCTGCGCGGACGATGAATTGCGGGGTAGATTAAAAGAAATATTAGTACACCTGGCTTCTCAATGTGCCCACAATTATTCCCAAAATTGATTAAAGTTGGTAGTATTCACTTCCCTGAAAAACAGGTGTCCTTTGTAATAGTTTGTAGCGGTCACTTGGGTAACGAACTAGGATACGTCGAGTCCACAGCCATACTGGCTATTGTTGACGCATCCCGATGGTGATCTCAAACTATACTTATCATAAAGGAAGCATCTTTAGGGTTATAGCAAGTTGGTGAACCTAAGCAAACCCCAGGTTGTTCAAGCAGAATTGGACAAATTGTCTGTGAGTCAGTAATAGTTACTGAGATATATAATAAATCAATTGCATATTTAAGGCCCAAGGGGCCCTTTCATTACGAATGAAACATTGACAAAATGGAGGTAAAATCGACGTGGGTTATTTAGAGAAATGGCGAAGGACGCACGAAGGAAACATGGCAGTACACAGCGCACAAGAAGCATGGCAAAATGAAGTAGCTCAGTCAAAAGTCGGTTTGTGCGTCAAATTATTATATCTAGATAATTTATCCAGGTTATTTCAGAGAAATATTCAGGCGCCTGTTAATGAAGTCACGGATATTAAGTCACTTTGAGTCCGTGTGTTGAGTGGCGGGGATTTCGCCCTTGAGCTCCCCACTCGAATTCAAAAATGCTGATTATTTTTTATTAGTATTCGAAGGCTTGATGATCCGTTGATGATCTATTTATGGACAATATCTTATCATACTAACAACTGAAATAAGCTTGAGTCACTACTTCTTTCCACCAACCAGCATAGTTTATTCATTTACTTACCATACAAATGTACAGGCCTGAGGATAATTTATCGAAAGCACACACATCCTCGCCAAGGTATCTTGTAATATTTACAATGGGAATTTTCGCATATTTAAAACTTTTAATTAATTAGGATGTAATCTGCTCACGATACAAATTAACAAACAAGAGTTCCTTTTGCTCAATTGGAGCCAATACGTAAAGCTTGCGAATGACGAAGTTTTGAAGAAAACTGTCTGTCAAGTCAAGTCAAGTTTATTAAAGGAAATATAGGCAAACGCCTTTGAA